GTCTACGAATCATTGTGCCATCAATAATATGCTGGTATATTTAGGTTTTGTTGGTTGTTGTTTTTTTTACCGTATTCTCAACAGATTTGATTTGGATTAAATTTCCTTTTTGCGGACAGAGATTGAGTAGACTTTGCCACAGATAAAGCTTATTAGATGTTAACTTGAACACAATACAAATATAGAAGATTCAACTTTATCGATTTAAAAACTTCATTGATTTGTATAGTTAAAGTATAAATTGAAGTAGGACTATGATTAACAATGCCGGTTAAAAGCTTACCCTTATCGAAACCTTTGTTCTGATTATTGTCTTAATTTAGTGATTCCAGTTGCCCTTTTTCAATACTGCTTGATATGTTTCCTGAAGTAGGACCATGATTAACAATACTAGCTAAAAGCTTACACTTCTCGAACCTCTTGTACTGTCCGGACAGAATACCGCTCTCTAGCACTGCACACGTGACTATAATGTTGGTCAGACCAGGCAGGGGGATTTACCCAAGACCACCCAATATTATAAAGCCATTACCAATGGAAATAAATTTGGGGTAGTATTGGGTAAATCGACCTGTCGGAGCAGGGGTGAGTTTCAATTTATACCTCCCTCTTATCCGACTTCTGCTCTTTATTAACCAGTTTGGATCGATTGTCCATATCTCTTTGCGATAATCAATTATATTGTACAAGTGCACTTTTCGTGTATTTTGGAATCTTCGTTGTTGATTAAATGAAGACAAGATTGTTGATGGTTGTTAATAGTTCTCTATATTCTTTGGTAAACAGTAATCAACAAATATCACAACAGACAATTAATATAACAATTATTGGTCCAATGCTTAATAGTAAATAAGCTCCAATGTGGATATTGGAATTGACCTAAACTTATGTCTCCAAATACAGGTAAATAAGGTCTGTCCTTAGGTATGTGATCTAAGTTGATCTCCCAAGACACGTGTGTAGCCAGCTCTTCCCAAATTCTGTCATTTTGGGTCTATATATCCCCATGCATCGCCTAGGGCATTAATCCTATAAATCTACAAACAATATACCCTGGTAACTAAACGCTATAGCCCGTTGACGTTAATTATAATTTATAAGCTCAATTTAAAGTTTAAAACAAAGAATACTGGAGACAGGTGATTAATGAAATATATAAGACAATATGAAGTAGATATAAATGGTGGGTAATTAAGGTGGATTAAGATCCATTAAAATATAATTGACTGAATTATGTAATACTGTGCGGATTAGCATGACGTATTAAACATTTACTATTGAGTCCAAATTCACCCTACTATAATATTGCTGGTACTAAGCATTTCTATAGTTTTTACCTTTGAACCTTCAAAATTCAATGTACTTATTTCCAGTCAAGTTTAAAGTTTAATATTCTGTGGTTTTAATTGCTACTCTTTTGCGGAAATTATATCTCCTGAAATCAATGTAAGTTCCTAACCATGTGAAATATGAACAATAAATTTAATGAAACTTGTATTGTTGATCATTGATGTCAGTCTGCTGTAAGGGAAATGTATTCATGGGCGAATGGGTTTCATTTATTATAGATTTATTAATCGATGATGACGCTGTGACTATTTCAATTCTGATTTGAATGAACACAACCAACAGCTCAATCCAACTAGCAGGGACAGCCTAATAGTAAAATGTTAGCTTTACGTGTACATACGTGTGCTTTGATAAACGGTGCACTAAACTAATTATCTAATTTATACCCGAGACGGCGGTATTCTTAAACTAATTCAGAAATGTCCTGCAATAAGTCGACGTCTTTATAGCTAAATATTGAGTGGTCCAATTATGTTTTGAGTAAAACAGGTAATTAACTACATAATCTAAATTAGATAGACCTGATACAGTATACCTGTAATCACGACTAGTCTATATTATTTATATACAATACAGAATGTCAAGTAAAAGTAAATTAACTCGTGTTACTGTATTGATTTTCAATCAGAAATCATCATTACACATTTGAAATAAACGCCTGATTTATATCTTCGCATTCTGAGTATCGACGTACAATGTTGGGGTAAAGAACGATATGTGTAGAATTACTTATCGGTACCTACACACTAAAAATTAATTTTACAATTATTTATTTTTTTTGAGGTCCACTCAACACAAATTAGGTCATTTCTGGTTCTATTTTATTTCAACAATTCGCTTGCGCGTAGGAGTCTTTAGCATTGGGACTACCCGGAGAAAAGCCACGAGGTTGGATAGGCGCCCCCACTCCTTGTCACACCAGTTAACTTAATGACAGACCTTATGATACAACGTGCACGGCGCGCTACCCCCCCCCCCCCTTCTTTCGACATGAGAGATAGCGTAGACAAATACAACAAAGAATAATGGCGTCATTAAAAAGATTTGTATTGAATTATTAACTCTCGAGAAGAGAAACGGGAACCAGGTGTGACAATAAACACCTACAGGCGTGTGTCTACATATATATAGACATAATAGACAAAAGCTTACTGAGCATTCCATTGAGCTTAGAACTATATCCTGCTTGACTCGGCCACATAAATTACGTTAATGTATATCCAAGTAGCCCAAAATATATCAGTATATGGTCATACCAATATGGGTAACTTGGTGATGAAAATATGTAGACCTACCATACGTGGAGGTGGAAATATGTAACGTATAAGTGGGCCTACTATACGTAGGTGGTTATCTTAGTTACGTGATCTCAAGATTAAGGTGCAACTTAATAAATTGTGGATCACATTTAAAATAATACTATGCAAATGATTTATATGGAAAATACAGTACATCCTCACGTTTTAGTTATTTCAATTGTTTCACACCAGTTTATTACATTATCACTTGCATTGATTTCAAAGTCCCTTTCCTGGCGAGATATCCTTTTGGGGCATCTTTCTTCCCACTTCTAGACTCCTACGCGCAAGCGAATTATTGAAATAAAATTGAATCATATGTTAGTCCCGAAATGATCAATTGAAGCTGCAGTAGTCTAGACCTGGTGATTTTACACCGTCATCTTTATCCTAGACACGCCCGTCATCGGCTGGTGGACAACTTATTTTTATCCATAAACATCAAGCTCAATATGTATTTTTTTTCTAACATACTTTTAAACCGAATATGTGTTATATAACAGAAGGAAATGATTACTGGCCTCTTGGGTCCTTGAGGATTGAAGTAAAAACATAAACCATTTTTTTTCTATTCCAAAATGCAAGTCCCACTTTATTGTTTAGGTGTTGGCCAAGAAAGTTGCCCTAAAAAGTAGACTGTTAAACCCCAATTCAATCATTCAGCTTGTCATCGGGCCTCCCAATGAGTAACGTGTAGACGTTCGGGTGGTACCGTACAGAAAATTTATGTCCACCCATGTATTCTATGGCGTTCACGTAAACAAATGCGGCGCTGGGTGGCCGAATGGTTTAAAGCGTCAACTCGACACAAACTAGGTCATTTCGGGGCTAACATATGATTCTATTTTATTTCAATAATTCGCTTGCGCGTAGGGGTCTTTAGCAGTGGGAACACCAGGAGAAAACCCACGAGGCTGAATAGGCGCCCCCACTCCTTGTCACGTACACCCGGAGAATAGAAACCACGCCAGTTGACTCAATGACAGACCTTATGATACAATGCGCACGGGCTAACCATTCGACCATCCAACCCCCTATAATCCGGTTGGTGTAGAAAAGTGGGACGTTAAACCTCATTTCATTTACCTTATTGTCTGATTTTTTTCAACAATTGCGATTTGACTTGGTCGTTTATGGTTTTGTCTGCGTAAAACAACGACAAAAAACTGTAGGAATTCTGTCATTCAAATAAAATCGCCCGAAGAACAAATAAGCGATCGTGTAAAAATCTGAAGTGTTCAAGTCAGTTATTTTATGTGTTATTATTTATGGATTATATTGCTATTGTCTGTTCCAAACACTGTTCATCGTTTTCTTGGTGAAATGTTTATATGAGGCGTGACTTAATACGAGTTCCTTGCCAGATATCGACCTTCAAGATACCCCTCAAAATTGACTCGAATCTGATAAATATTTGTAGAACAATATCTATAAAGTCAAAAATACATTCACAGCCAGTTAATTTAAAAAAAAAAATCCTTGGTGTTCTGGTTTTGATCAATATAAATTCATTACCAACAAATTATTCTTATATCACAAGTATCAAGATAGAGTGCGATTTTTGAAACTGAAGTAGTTGAGCTGTTACTAAATACGTTGCTACATTTCTATTCTGTAGGATTTCATTCTCGAATAAAAACAAGTAAAGTGTAGTTCCTACCCACAAGTCGGAACAGCTCATTATTTTGTAATTCGCTTTGCGAACTTACCCTCAAAGGCGCAGGTTTTAAAACATTTATTGTTGGTAGTAGAGTACAAACAAACTTTAAATGGAGAGAGAGAGAGAAATGGGGTTTAACGTCCACTCGAAACAAACTAGTCTTCGGGACTAACATATGGTTTAATTTTATTTCAATAATTCGCTTGTGCGTAGGGGTCTTTAGCAGTGGGAGGAAACCGGAGGACCCGGAGAAAACCCACGAGGTTGGACAGGCGACCCTACTCCTTGTCACGTACAACCGGGGATTCGAAACCACGCCAGTTGACTCAATGACAGACTTTATGATACAGCGCGCGCGTGCTAATTATTCAGCCATCCAACCCCCCAAACTTTAAATGACTTTTTTTGTATTGTAATGGATTATATTATACATGTAGCTTCCATAAAATTTGAATCTTTTCTTGAACTGGTCTGAAATGAGCTAGAAAGTATATTGTATCTGAGGTCGAAAACATTTGTTTGAACCCAGAGAAATTTTGGATTCCGATAGTACACGTTTGGTATAATTTTAGATCTAACGGATTGTGGGGTTAAATCTGTTGTGTTTTGTAGGGGTGGGGTATTATTATGTTTATTTGTTTTGATTATTATTATATCGCCTGTTTATTAATTGTACTATTTATTTATTTCAGCTATTGGGATGTGCTATACTTGGTGTAGGAATATGGTTAAGAGTTGATCAGAATGTAGGTAAATACGTCAATCAGTCCGATGACATAAATGTATTTTATACCCTAGCCTATGTGTTAATAGCAGTGGGCATCATTATAATGATCATCGGATTCCTCGGCTGCTGTGGTGCCATTCGTGAAAGCCAGTGCATGTTGGGAATGGTAAGTATTTGATGATTTTAATGCTTACAGTAACGGTGAATGATTTGCATTTTTCGAAAAATATCTAATTTATCACTGCTTATATAATCAACGCTGATATTTACTCAGATTATTTTACATTTAATTAAGAAAACAAAATCAAAATACCCATGCTAGATAACCCCCCGGTTTGGATTCAACAAAATCCATCAATTTAGTTCACAGCAAATACGGATGGCAGCTGTCTTCTTACATGGAGCAGAATAGATCGGTGGAATTTTCAATTCCTCATATCTTTGCAAAATACTGAACGGAATCTAATAATTTTCGAACTGATATGCCTGTTATAGATTTAACTTTAACAGTATTGTAGTTTGCAAGGACAGAGATAAAATCACGCATGTTTTCAGAAAAGTTATTAAAACAATAATGAGTTAAATAATATGAGTTATATTTACATATTCAAACATAAAAACTCACATAATTCAATGAATTATATTATTATGTAGAAATTACTATTGAAAAATAATATATGCCTGTGATTTTATTTTTTTTTTTATTTTCAGTTCTTCGTATGTTTGTTTATAATTTTCGCCATCTTGTTGGGTGCTGGTATCTTCGCTGTTGTTGCTAAAGATAATGTAAGTTTACAAGAAGGATATATATATAATATATATATATATATTTGTAGTAAAGTTTGTTGAATTGAGATACCGGCAACGCGTCCTTAAATCAACGTGAGTCAGAGATCGCGTGGCATTGTGCATATGAATTCTGTGCTATTGAATCTAATATTTGAAGGTTTCCTGTTGGCAATTAAGCCTACCCGAGAGGTTTGAATACTATTAGTAAACTACAAACTGTGTCCAAACTCGGCTTTAGACAACTTTGGTTCTTGTCGAGTCTTAGAAACGTCCTTCGGACTTTGAATTTAGTGTTTAACGTCCACTCGACACAAACTAGTAGGTCATATCGGGACTAACAAATGGTTCAATTTTATATCAATAATTCGTTTGCGCGTATGGGTCTTTAGCAGTGGGAGGAAACCGTAGGACAGATCTTATGATACAACGCGCAAGCGCTAACCATTCAGTCACCCCCCCCCCCCCCAATTTGGATAGAAAGCACCTAATAAAATGTGTTTAACAAACAGGGTAGTATTGGCGCTCATTAGCAGAAAACAACAGACTAATACTGTACAAAAAAATCCAAAATGCCCGAATGAGTGGAAAAGCACTTTACTACAAGGACTGCTCTCTCTTCCAGCCCCCACCCCACCATACCCCACTTCACCTTCAATCAACGAAGCACCAAAATCAACCTAATGTCCAAATGTGTCAGCTGCGTGCAACTGATAATCCCCGTGTTAAATAGAATTATGATAATATATATAAATCCCGGAAATTTAATTACAGTTTAAAGACCTAACAGGAAAAATGTTGGAAGATGCTGTAGATGGTTACTACACTGATAAAACAGGACAATCCAAAAATTTCATGGATACTGTACAAACCAACGTAAGTAAGAGGAATTATTCCAAATATTGAAAATTTATTCTGTTAACACAATCTGCGATTTGATGACAGTTATAGCTTTATTGGACTTTGTGATTCCATACATTATGTTAGTTGATTCCTTTATTAAGAAATGTTTCTAATAACACTATTAATTGTATTTTGAACTGATGGATTGTTTTGGGGTTTTGTTTTATAGCTGAAATGCTGTGGATCATATACTGGTGCTACCGATTACGCCGTGACAGGTTCTATTCCTGATAGTTGTGCAGGACATCTTTCCATCGTAAGTATTTATTTTTAAATAATGAACCAACTGGTAACATTTTCCTCAAAGATCAAAAGTTATTATTATTACTTTAATTTGTATTGGCTGTTCCGCTTGGCTCATGCAATGCAGGGAAGTAACTCTAATTTTCGGACTTCAGTGAATGTCTGAGATTGAATGTGAAATCGCTTTATTTAACGTCGGCTTTAGAGCATATCTCACTGTTGTCCTTTTCTTTTGCCCTTTGGGGGGACCACGATGGCCCAGTGAGAAAGGCATTGGCCCATTAATCACGAGGTCCTAGGATCAACCCCAAAGTTGATACAGAAAGTTAACCCATCTCATTGCATTTCTCCCACCTCTTTTTTCATGGGGGTTATTGTTGAGGTTTTAGTTAAAATTGAAGTGTTTCTAGTTACAGTTTCTGTCAAGTTTTGATCTCCCACCTCCCAGCCCGCCCCCTTCATCCCAATATTTTTATCTGAAAATATTGTGACATGTTGGATGTTGGACGTATTTGAACCTTTATTTTTTATTTTTATTAAAGATGCATTATGTAAGATTTATATAAGGAGCTGGTCGTTCTTGCTATAATAGTTCAAAAATAGATAATGAAAAATGAATATATTAAAAATGACATTCATATTACTTTATTCTGAGCGAAGGTAGATCGTTCACTTCCCGAGGTCTCGATTGTCCAGTTTGTCGTTAATTTTTTTAATCTCGCGGCAATAGGCAGATTTAAGAACAACTTACAGATTTATAAAAATAATTTATGGTATTTATGTGATTATTGTGTATGTTCTGTTGTGTCTTCAGCCCTGTTCTGGCAAGTTTAATGAATTCATGTCAAGTAATTTGATGATTGTGGCTGGTGTAGCTATTGGTATAGCTGTTGTTCTGGTTAGTACATACATATTTATAAACAATATACCGTCCTACAAATTTGCAAATTTTACATTGTAGCGGTAATCAGCAGTTCCAAATCAACCCCATCTGACCTGGGTTTTCTTAAGACAATCCCCCAGATGTTACATTCCCCTTAGTCTGTCATATAATATCAAAATGTCGGTTTGTTTTTCTTCTCATAATCACTGGTCATTCACATAATGCCTAGTTTTTCTTATAGATATCCTCAAATTATAGCTCTCATAGGCGCCAATATTTTCACGATTTGGGATATTAACAAGTTTTGTTATATTAATGCTCATTGTCCAAATACTAAGGTATATTTTTCAAATAAAAAGAAATTCGTCTATTTTCAAATGTAAATTCTTCCAAATACATGGTTAAATTGAACTTCCTCAATTGAATACTTGCATTCATACCTAGTCCCCTGAGTTATTAGCTGGAAGGTAGCACAGAACAATGAAAACAAAATCAAATATTTTCTCTTTTTCAGATTTTGGGAATGATCTTCTCAATGGTTTTGTGTTGTGCTATTCGTGATGTGCAGTAAGTCAATTAAATGAAGCTATATTTTTTTTTATTTTAATGTCATTATTTGAAATATAAAATATAAAAGTCTTGCCACTTCCGATTTAACTGGCTAGCTTAACTGCTGGTTCGAGTGGTGCAATGTGTTTTGAAATGTTTTGCCACAGATTGGGTTTGCCCCATAATGTTAACGTGAATGCATAATTTTCCAAGTTTCGTTAATAAAATCGACGTTGGCCCACTAAATGCACAATTCTTTTGTGTGTATAATAATACATGGAAACAGGGAATGTCGAACTTAAAGTACACTTGATCTTTAACAGTTTCTTACAGAAAATGCATGGCTTAGCTTTAATATCCATTTTTACCCTTTCAGAGTGTGAAGAGTGTTGTCTTAGTATGTGTTTACGTCATCAATCTATGTGAAGAAACTTTTAAAACGTCATACTGTAAAAAATGGCCTTAGGTCTTGTAAAACCATGATTAGCTATTATTATCAATTCAATTCTGTTTCCGGTTCTTCTATTTACTTTCATTCTTTCAAAAAATGTTACAAAATCTCTGTTAGATTACACTAAGTTCTGATTATATTCAAAGCGATATAAATATAATTAACTGGCGGTTACTACCACTATGTATGTACGCCAGGAACCGAAAATCTGCTGATTTTTATAAATCTATTAATCTATCACAATATCATTGTGTATTATCATCAATCACATCATATCATACGGTTTAAATTAGTTTCGATTTTATAGTCGTTTTCTTTTATAAATATTAACATCCTTTTATATAAGAATCCGTGTGAGGTTTGTACATCTTGAATTTTTTGGTATAAGTCATTTTTTTTCTAATTTTAGAAGACAAAAAAACAATAACACAATTTTATCCAGTTTGTATATCGTCTTTGAATTTATTTTCAAATTGATGAGATGCCTTTTTGTTTTATTTTTTCTTAAATCAAGACCTGCTGTATATTATCTAAGCACCCTTAATGTTTTCGCGTGAATAACTGTAAAGAAATGAAAAGAGCCTTTAGTATTAGGCGTATTAATATCGAACGGTTTTTCTTTTAGCCAATGCTCATTGTAATATGTTAAATGTTAGTATATAAATCTGTTTTAAAAGTTAATATTATGTACTGTGTATATATATTAGTGACAATTTATATCGATATAACCTTGTTTATATATTATGCTAATGGGTTATTCTATGTCAAGTGGACCAGTGCTTATAAAGTAACCCCCTCAGAATATTATGAAAAAAATATATGTTCTAGTACATATAGTACTGCAAAGTTATAAAACTCTAGCATAACTATTGACTGAGATGTGGCCTTTTGAATAGGGGTACCCTTTCGCAAGTTTTGAAACTACAATTCTATAACTGATTTTATATTTTCTAGATAGACAATATTCTTGAAATTATGGTAAATTCTTAATCTATATAATTTCAAGAATATTGTCTATCTAGAAGATATAAAATCAGTACACCAAAATCGAGTTATAGAATAGTAGTTTCAAAACTTGCAAACGGGTACCCCTTTCAAATAGTCACATCTCAGTGAATATTAATGCCAGAGTCATATAACTTTGCAGTTTTATATAAGTCTGTATGTACTATAACATAATTTTTCGTAATTTTATTACTCGTTTTGTTAATTATTACATGGTCTATACAACAGGGATTGCCCAGAACTCTAATGGTTGTTACTGAACACAATAAGTTAACACGTAATACACATATAGCTTATGGTGACGTTTATAACACCCCCCCCCCCCCCCAAAAAAAAAAACCAAAAAAAACATGAAGAACCCAGTACTTGCATTAGAATTCTCCGGTTTTGCATGGGAATGACAAAAATCAACATTAGGGACGCCGAATTAGTAAGTTATTATCAATGTTCTTTCTGGTAATTCTTAATGCATAATCATAGACTATCGTCCGTGTGGTTTCCAACTTTGGTTGAATATGTTAATTCAAAAGAGGCACGGTAGGATTTGTTTTATTTGTATCGGCTAATGACATTTTGTAAATTAAATGGAAGTGTAATATTCTTTAAACCGTTGTTGAAATTTATAAGTCCATGACTTAATATTCATATTATCAAAAATATACCTAGGAACTGCAATGATACTTTTACCCACTAATGTAATATTAAGGGTTCTATTGGTTGGTGTTTACTGTTACTATTTGTACACTATATTATATATATATATTTTTTTTATTTACAATGATTTTATCTATACACACATGTAACTACCTTAAATAGGCTATAATTATCAATGTTATAACTTTGTTCATAGATGGTATGATTCTCTGTTTATAAATACGTAGCAAATCTCGTACCCATGTACAAAAACATAGAAAAGAACAACATTTCTGATTGTCGTGTAACAACTGGTACGGTTTGGGTCCATTTTATTTAGAACAAAGAAGTACAAAATGTCTTCCATCATTGGACATCAGAGAACATCGCTTTTTATAAATATTTATGCACAATAAAGTACCTAATCCCACGATAGAAAGAAGAAAGAGATTGCTGTGCAGAGAGGTACATAACAAACGCCATGATTGTGTGTTACGAGTTAAAACGGGCGGCCATATTGAACAAATATTTTTTACTATTTTGCCGTACTTTGCATATTTTAGGCAAGCGAAGATTTGAGTTAACAAAATGTACCGTCCTATTTTTAGATTAAGACTTTTCTGTAATTCTTATCTTAAAAAAAACCTAGTAGTTTATTCTATACAATACGTAGCTAAATAGATTTTGTATGTATTGACATCATTTTTATACGTTTTTGAGATGAAGATGTAATATTATACGTTATTCCTTCACCTTGTTTTATTTTTAAATAGGAGTCTGTATTAGCTTTATAGTTTCCCTGTAGAGTAGACTCTATCTACATAGACACTTTTTAAACCAATTCACTTGTCTTCATCCTCTAACAAAATGGCGCCTTGATTTAAAAATTCCATTCATGTTTCAAAATATAATTAACCTTTGATTTAGGTTGTCTAAGTACAATTTTTGTAAATTCAAAAAGTTTGAAATTGTCAAGAGCACATGCAATGTTTCGATAAGAAATAAATATTTCTGAATTTGAGTTGGTTTAAAGTTGTGATAGAACTCATATTTGCTTTATGTGGACAATATCATCTCATGTAATGTCTATTGCTACATGTTTTCTATGAATAAACTGTTCTTTTAAAATAATGATGTTAATCCTGGTAGATTAGGGTATACTTACCTAAAGGATAGGTATTAAAGTGCAAGCTAAGTGGGTACACAATATTTGTTAACATTGGTAGGAATCCCCTAGACTGTCTTCACAAACTGACCCTGTAGGGAATCCACTATAAGATTTGTCGGTTGGAAGGAAGGGCATATTCTTTTTGAGCCGGCGGGTCACCTACAGGGTGCAATTCTTAATGGATTGTCTTGAAACTTTGCAGATTTATTACTTATACCATAAGGATGATCCCTATGGTTTTTGGTGCATACCCAACCAACAGGGACAGAGCCACGCACATTTTAGCATTTGTTTGTTTGTCACCTACAGGCCACAATTCTTAATGGATTATCTTGAAACTCTGCATACTTATGCCTTATACCCTAAGGATCATCCCTATTGTTTAGGGTACATGCCCAATTCCCAAGGGCAGAATCACGCCCATTTTCTCTTTGTATGTCTGTGTGTCGCCTACAGACCGCAATTCTTAATGGATCGGCTTGAAAACTTTTCATACTTATTCTTATACCCTAAGGATGACCTCTACTATTTTTTGGTGCATGCCCGACCCCCTGGGACAGAGCCACGCCCATGTTTTGTGTTTAGCGTCTGAAGGTCACAATTCTGAATGGATTTTCTTGGAACTTTTTATACTTATTTCTTATACGCTAAGGACGGCAACTATTGATTTTGGTGCATGGTTCGCCCGCTTAATTGGGCGGTGTCACGCCCACTTTTTGTTAATATTTTGTCTGTAAATAATCTACCTGTGGGAATTATTAAATGATTTAGATCCAATTCGGCACGACCCATCATAGGGTTGAGCATATTTATATTGTTCCATATCCAACCCCCAAGGACCAAGCCACGCCCAATTTTGTCTTATATTTACCGTCTACAGGCTGCAATTCTGAATGTATCATCTTGTAACTTTGCATAATATTTAATCCTTATACCGTAAAGACAGCAATTATCTATTTTGATGCATGCTCTGATCCCCAAGAATGTAGACGTATATCGCAGCGGTAACGATGCTCTTGTTAACAATTCTAGAGTCTTGGGGTACCAATGTTGAGCTGCCCAATATGAATCAACAGAACAGTTGGGTTTTCTAGTCGCACATTTTAGTTTATCTAGGATTTTACACAGAAGGTGACGTGGGGCAGGACATGCACTGTCATACGATTCCAAGGTATAAGTATTGCTATTCAGATGTTAATATTTACCAGGATACACGAATAATTGATATTTTTAGTCCCGTCGATGTCGAAGAAATAAAACTGTTTTATATCACGATATTGATGTGGATCAATAAGGACCAAAACAATTTAAGAGTGTTTGTGTAACTATAGATAATGTGTGAAGTGGATAATTAAGAGTGCCAATCGCGAGAAGGTGAACCGCGATACATCGAGTCAACGATACCTCGTGCCAGCACTTTTGAAAACGCGTCCTTCCCCACCCCGGCCATTGGATCCAGATGCCAAAGAGACGTATACTGGAACCTGTATATTTAGCCTGCCAGAAAATAGGTTTAACTTGGGTAGACATGTCATTCTTATTATTTGATTAAAGACATTCCAGTTTAAATGCCACACTGTTCAAAAAATGTCTGCTCAGAAAAACCCCGATTACAGTACACAATTTCAATGAGCGGATCATTCTATCGACTTGAAGTATACTATTCAAAAAAAGTAGGGGATATTTGATTTTGGGGGCATAATACTAAAATATGCAAATGACTACGAAAAAAGTCACTATAGAACCTAACAGAAGAAACATTTCCAGTTACATGTGACGCCCAAACGCACCAATAGCTACCGCATGGAATGCAGGTGATGCTTGGGATCATCATGGGGGTCCAACACAAGATTTGCACGACTCTGACTTTGAATGTTACAGTCATTGTGGCATTGAATTCCAGGGTGGAAACATCAGTTTAATTGTTTTAGTGACCAGAAAACAAATTTTGATATGCGTCGGCTTACCCAAAATGAAAGGTTACGTGCCCTTGGCATGCTACAGATCGGCACAACACAGGCGGCTGTGGCGCGGACGATGAATGTTTCTCAGTCTGTCATAAGCAGGCTATGGTCCAGATACCGTGATACACAATCTGTACAGGACAGACCACGCTCAGGTCGACCAAGGGCGACAACTCAAGCCCAGGATCGATTTATCCGTACCTTGGCCTTGAGAAATCGTGTCATCACAGCAAATCAGAACAGCGCTCGTCTTCAAACAGACACTGGTGTGAGAGTGAGTGGCCAGACGATTCGGAATCGACTGCATAGGGGTCACCTTCGAGCCCGACGTCCTCGCGTGATCCCTTTTTTGAGAGATCATCACATTCAGGCAAGACGTCGTTGGTGTAGGGATCGTCAACACTGGGATAATCGACGCTGGAGCAATGTGATGTTTTCAGATGAGTCAAGGTTCACTGTTGATTTTTTGGACAGACGTAGGAGGGTGTGGCGTCGTCGAAACGAGCGCTTCCAAGACGTTAACGTTATCAGACATGATCGATTTGGGGGTGGTTCTGTTATGGTGTGGGGAGGCATCACTGTTGCTGGAAGAACGGCTTTACATGTTGTTGCAGGGCGTGTTACAGGCCAGTACTACCAGGGCAACATCTTGGCAGTCCATGTTGTGCCGTTCGCACGACGTCATGGCCGCCGTTTCATCTTTCAGGATGACAACGCAAGATGTCACAGGGCCAGGATCGTTACAGGTTACCTCCAACAACAGAACATCACCACATTACCTTGGCCAGCACTGAGTCCCGACCTCTCCCCCATCGAGCATGTCTGGGACATGCTTGGACAGAGGTTACGTCAACGTCAACAACGTCCTGCCAATGTCCAAGAACTTGCTGCTGCGTTGCAACAGGAATGGGACAATCTGGACCAAAATGACCTTAGACGTCTCATTAGGAGTATGCCACGTCGGATCAATGCTTGTTTGGCAAACAGAGGAGGATTTACCCGTTACTGACTTGGTTGTGATGCTGTGGTAACTTTGCTGTTTGACCCCGGGTATCATTTTACCCTTATAATGGTCAGTCTGTGCCTTACTTAGTCTAACGATCATTTGGAATAAATCGATGAATGTGAACTTCATTTCATTTTGTCATTTGTTTCTTCGTCAGTTTCATTAGGTGACTTTAATAACACTTAAAAATCAAATATCCCCTACTTTTTTTGAATAGTATATTTTCATCAAAATAGCTTCTAAAACCAATTGCCCTCTAACGGTATTAAACGGCCTTATGTGGTAGAAATGCTTGTAGCACTATGATTCTTTCTGTGAAAAGCGGGCCATTCCTGTAGCAATATTGCTAGAATATTTTCTCTTGAAATTAATGATGGCATTATATTGTATTAATTAATATCTTTGGCAAGTTATTAGATTCACATATATGTACTTAAATCAAGTTAGCGAATGAGTGGCATATTGTTACATAAAAAAGAGTCATAATGTGATAAACATTCAATTCTAGGTTGATAACAGATATCTTGTGGGAAATTTCTCCAGTAAATTTCCACTAACCATATAAGGGTGGGTTTCGACGTCATTTGGCTCAATTAACCAATCTCTCTAATTATTTACATTATATCTGACCAATTAGATAATTGAAGGTCCAAAACCCAAAGCTACAAAACTATCATGCCTGTGAGAATTCGTCATATAGCAGACAGAATTTCTATTAGCTATGTAGCTATGTATCCGGCTGTGATATATAAAATGTAAAAAACAAAGACAAACAGTAGGAAATAAATACACAACGTGAAAATACTAGATGATCACAGAGCTTCTAAGATATGTAGTAAGAAAGGATGCATGGGTCGTACGTAGGATGTATATAATCTGTTAATCCCAGTCTGTTATTTTCTGAACTCTTCAAGGTCAGCATGCTAGTCAAAATATATATATATATATATATATATATATATATATATATATATATATATATATATATATAGCAATACTATCAAGAGACGGAATATGGGAGCATACTTTATCGACCGGTTCAAACCAGATTTAAATTCTTAATTTGCCCCCTTCCCACCGTGCTAATGTTCTAATAATATTTAAATAAAATCTTAATATATGTTTTTACACTTTTTACTTCGACACTATTTAAGGGGATTTTAAACCCTGTAAATCTTTATTTCTCTATAATCGGTATATTAGAGAATAAGATTGATATAAATAAGTTTACAGCCAAATTATATAATTGATCTATTGACATTTAATTAATCTCTTCACTTCTGTATGGTTCTATCGTCAAATTATACCAGGGACACTATGTAAATTAATGAAAGGTTAAGTTTTATTATAGCCAGATTACATAATTGGTCTATGAACGTTTATTTCATCTCATTATTCCTGTGTTGACCATTGTCAAACTATACCAGGAAGACTATGTAGATTAATGTAATGTTATATATTATATACCTTTAACCTTTTGTTGTACGTTACCTAATATTATTTATAATACATTGTCATGGAAATCTATTATTCTAAGATTGTATATATATATATATATATATATATATATATATACAACGTGGGCATTAGGCAGACCATAAACACATTATATAGCCATTAAGCAGACCGATGGATTAGGCAGACAAAAACCGGTCTGCCTAATATTTTAACTGATGAATTTTACATGCTAAAAAGTGAGAAATCACATTTCTGTATTTGGAATAGATTTTAGTTGCCTCTCACAGTAATTTTGGGTATCTGGATTTAAAAAAAGAAAATTAATAAAATTTATTTTTTACTCTTAAGTTTTGACCTGCGTATATTTCTTTATCTATTATTATGGGCATTAGACAGACAGGCTTTAACCCTTAACAGTTTTCTAAAAACATATAAATGTCTATATTTTTTTAAATTTTTCATTCAGGAAACATTGCTTTTAGTTTTGATAACGAATTTGTTTCGTATTTTTTATTAATTTAGAAAATAATATTTT